GGTTTAAAGGTATAAATTCTAAATTTAGTTCTAAAAGAGATGAATGGATACCAAATTTCATAAATAAATTCTCAGAACCAGCTAACCACGATGAAAGTATCACACATATTTTTGAATCTAATAACCACAGATCAGAAACATAATTCTTATTAGAACCCTTCCAGTGGGATGAATTTGTAGTAGCCATTAGTTCAAGAAAAGATTCTGCACCTGGTTTAGACAACATTCCATACATAATGATTAAAAATCTTCACAAATCTGCTAAATCAATTCTCTTACAAATTTACAATTTATTATGGCAAAATCAACAAATTCCCACTTCATGGAAAAGCCGATGTATAATACCAATCTTAAAACCTGATAAACCAGCCAATCATCATAATTCATATAGAACAATATCATTATCTTCTTGTATGGGCAAACTTTTCGAACATATGATAAAAACACGTTTAGACTATTTTGTAGAAACCCAAAACCTCTTACCAGTTAATCAATTTGGCTTTCATCGTGGTCGAAGTGCAGCAGAAAGCTTTGTGACCTTTCTGGCTGATATAAAAAAATGTATGTTAGGTCGTAGCAGTGCATTGTGTGTCTTCTTAGATGTACAGGGTGCTTATGACAATGTCTGTCTACACAAGCTTTGTCATGTCTTGGCTGATATTGGTATTCCTGGAAAATTAATAGAATGGATTTTTAATCTCTTTTTTGACAGAACAGTTCATGTTAAATTTAATAATATTTTACATGGCCCTAAAATATCATTTAAGGGTCTTATGCAGGGAGCCTGTTTATCTCCTATTTTGTACAATTTATATTCCTCTAGATTAATGCACAGAATTACTAGTAATATTAAGATTCTGCAATTTGCAGATGATTTGCTTCTGTATAGTGTGGATAGAAATATTGATTCAGCCCAATCAAAACTCAATTTAGCTTTACAACAACTACAAACATACTATGAGAATGAGCTCAAATTGAGTATAAACACATCCAAAAGTCATGTTATGGTTTTTGGTAAACATGATTTTAATGTTGATATAAAATATGATAACATCAGAATTCCTACCACAAATAATCATAAATTTTTAGGTGTTATCATTGACACAAAATTAAAATTTGAACAGCACATAAATTATGTAATTAAAAATGCGCTTAGGGGTATAAACTTGTTACGTTGTTTAGCAGGAGTTTCTTGGGGTGCTGATCCCAGGATTCTATCCACACTATACAAAAGTATAGTACGCAGTCATTTTGACTACAGTTGTTTGGCTTACATGAAATCTAGTTCAACATTACTTAAAAAATTAGATGTTGTGCAAAACATTGCATTAAGAATTATCACTGGTGCCATGAGAACTACTCCAATAAATGCCATGGAAATCGAAACATGCATACCTCCATTGACATTAAGACGATTCTTTCTTGTCCAAAAATTCTGTATTAAGGTCATTTTTTCAAATAAATCAATTGTTAAGAATAACTTGACACTTCCTTCAATAATGGCAGCAAATGTAGATGGTCCGATTGTAACTGCAAATTCTATAATACATGGATTATCACCAGAGATGTGTTCAATTATGATAAAAGTGCAAAAAATTTGTGTAAATATATATATATGTACTGATAATATTTGGCCCTTATATAAATGTAACTTTAAAGCACTTTTTCTACAGAGTTCTATTCACTTGCCTAACAATACTGATAATTTTGATTATTTAGATTTTGTACAGGATAAAACCAATTCATATAAGATTTTTACTGATGGCTCTTAGTGTAAAAAATGGGTTAGATCTGGTTACATTACCTACATTTGTAAGGTGTTTGATTTAAATAGAACTGCCTGTATTTTTACAGCAGAGGCTTATGCTATCCTGCAGGCCTTAAAGTACATAAAAACTGTAAATATTTATAATGATTTTTTAATTGTCAGTGACTGTAAAAGCATCCTTTTAGCTTTATTAGGATGCCGTGTAGACTTTAAGTTAAACTATGTAGTGTATAGTATCAATGACCTATTATATGAAATAAGTAATACAGGAAAGAAGGTGGAATTTACTTGGGTACCCTCCCACAGAGGTATTGCAGGGAATGAGATTATTGATAAAGCTCTCTCTACTGGATATGATGAGGATCACACTGAACAATTTAAAGTTCCATTCACCGACTATTACCAAGGTTTAGCAGAAAATATTAGAAGCATATGGTCAACTTATTGGGATACCATTAAAGAGACTAAAGGAAGTTGGTATGCTAGTATTCAAGAAACTATGCCAGTAAAACCTTGGTACAATTTAAGAATTGGTGACTCAAAAAAATTTATAACTGCAGTGAACAGGTTACGGTTTGGCCATTGCTTAGTGCCTAGTCACCTCTACAGGCTGAAAATAAGAACTGATAGTCGGTGCCCACATTGTCATCAAGAGAATGCAGATATTGAACATTTAATCTTTTCCTGCTCTGCTTTTGGGATCCAGAGATTGTTACTTGTCAGCCAACTTGAAAGTATCTCCGAAGAATTGCAACGAAGTGTTCCCCGCCGCATTATAGACATTCTATCGGAACCAAGTTTTTTCCTACCTGTTTTCCAGTTTGTGTGTAATACTGTAAACAATTTGTAAATAGTTTAGGTGATTAGAATTTCATAAAAAACAAGTTAGTAGTAAGTTGTAGGTTAGATGTTATTTTTTAATTGTTATTGAAAGTTGAGTTGCGTTTTGTTTACATTATTTTTTTTGGTTTATGTATACCTATATAAGATATTTAATTCATTGTATTTACTTGCTAATTTTAATATTTTGCACTCCTATTTCTGTTTTGTTATATTCATGTTAAATGTTTAAATGATTTCGGCTAAAGGACAAAGTATCCATGGCCAGAATAAATTAAAAAAAAAAAGTAAAAATGGAGTCGTAACTTTTTAACTTATATAATGTTATAGTTTTATTTTTTTAAGGTGTATAATGAGTTACTTACAAGTGACTTTGTTGGTTGTTTCTATGCGTCCTTTATAATTTCGTCAAAATTGTATGCTCGGCATATTTAAGCAATAATTTCAACACGAAACTCGGTAATTGACGTGCGTATCGCTCAGCGTTGCATTGAACACTAAGTGACGGGAAACGACTTAGACCCCACCAGCAAAACAACAGTTTTTTTTTCAACGCATCTGCACCGCCACGCGTCCTTGCAAATTGACATACACATACCACAATAATTCTTGTTTTTAAACAGCGCGGTATCTTTGTTGTCGAGCCAAGTTAGACCAATCATTTATGTTAGTTAAACACGTAGCTTACCAATATAGAATTTTGATGGTAGTCGACATGACACGGACACGATCTCAATAGGTACCTATCAATGCAATTCCAATTCCAATTGTTTCGATCGAAGAGCAGACTTTTTTACCGCGAACTGTCTACCTCGCGACGTCATGACGCGTCACTCATAGTTCGAAGTACGCCGTGACACGCCACCAAAAAGAACAAAAAAAATAACCTCTAGTCTATTTAAATTTTGTCATTGTTACGATAACAATTGTTTCGATCTATTGTCGTTTACCCGAAAAGGCTTTCAATTGGTAATTATTGTTCTTGTTGAAAATACACAGAAATGTACTTAAAACTTCATAAGTTTCTATTATGTTACACTTACAATTCACTGTTGTTCTGCTTTTTATATACACTGAAGAGCAATGAAAGCGATTCGGTTTAATGTTTTTGTGATTTTTGTATAGTATGCAGGGTTGCCGACAGTAATTTTAAATATATTCTGTATAATAATACCGTATAAACCATTTATTTGTTCAATCAAGATAATATTAGGCCGGCACTTCACTTGACTAATCGTATTTGTATATCTATATTATATTTTAAATAACTCCTTTGTAATATTTTTTTTTTACTCACCACATGTTTATTGCTTCCAGGCAAATATAGACTCGACTCTAGCTAAATAAGGCGATGAAGTGTTAAGCAATACTTTTGGCGTCATTACTACGAATTTCAAGCTGATGAATTCTCTAAATTAAAAAAAACGGCATGAAAAATTAACTTAACGTCAAAAACGAGTTCAGAAAACTTATTTCAGACGGAGGGACTGTCCTGTGGATCACCTTTTAATTAAATAATTTCGGGCTATAATGTAGTTTTGGAATGTGCTCATCATACTTTCAATCCAATTAATTGTAAGGCATGTTGATGAAAAAAAATAATTTTCGAAAATGGAGCCATTGAGCCATACTTCTGTCATAAATATCTTTTTTGTACCTATGGTTAATTCGTTACATAAATGGATGAAAGTTTAGTTATTGATAAAAAATACTACCAGAAATAATACCCAAATGAGTAATGAATAACTTAATACGTAGTCTATAACAAAATTATATTTTAATGCGGTAATTTTCGTTACTCTGAAACTTATTGTTGCTAAATTAGTTATCCTGTTCTATACGCGCCAGAAAAAGAGTCTTGCTTCGGCTCATTACTTTATAATCCGGGCTACCGTCCGGAGGTCATAAACAACGAAAGTGCTCATAACAAACAAAATAATCTCGAGGAAATAGAGTTTAGTGGCAATTTTTCGTGTAGTGAGTGACCCAAGGTTTCCTGAGGACTCGGCTCAGTACCCACCACCCTAAGGTGAATTTTTTATAAGGACGCAGTTAGAGGGGGAGAGGAGGCGCCGCGGGGTGGTTCGGAGTCGCCAGCGCGAGGTCTGCATATTGCATTAGATTTAAATTGTTTACGTCGTTAAGAAAGAAAGTTCTTTCGAACTGTTCAAGACGCGGGAAAGTTGTCGGTATATTTAATTTTTCGCATAATCGTATGAGAATTGTGACCCGTATGTCTCCTTTCCATCTAGTTTTATGTGCGTTTACGTTAAGTTGTCGAAAATCAATACGATGTAGCGTCCCTGAATCATATAGTTTACGAGAGTAAAATAGTATTTTATTTTGTTTTATTATATTTATTAGCAATGCTATTATGACTTTTTCAGCTAACACAAAGTTTATTGTATTCACTATGATCTTATAATGATGGCATAGTCCTCATGTAATCGTAATCGTCTCATTGTTCTTCCGAATGAAACATTGACAATTAATTAGTCATACTACTGTTTATTTCATTGATACATTCGCCAGTCCAAAAAGTAAATTCATGGTGATCACTCGTTATGAAGTTTCTCATAGTTTTAGTTGCTGTTATATACCATTATCAAAGTGTCGATTGTTTAAATGCTATCGATTATTTAAATGAAAAGTTAAATGATCTATCAAAAGAAGTTGTGAAAGCTTATAATCATGTTACTGTTTCTATAAAAAATATTTTCACCCGAAGAAATTATGAAGATGAGAAAGAAATTGAAAAATATATATTAGAAGAAAAAATAAAACAATCATTTAACGATTTCGTGGAAAAAAGCGGATCATGCACCCAACACCCTGATTATTTAAGTTTCCGATCTGAACCAACAGCGCTAATGTCCACACCACAATTAGCTACGCTTCATGGAAGACGAATAGAATCGCATATCATTAAAACAAAAGATAACTATCTATTGACTTTACATCGTGTTTTTAATGGAAGCAGCATTCCCGACCGTACAGTCATACTACATCACGGTTTGATGGGCAGTTCAGCTGATTGGATTATGTTAGGACCGACGAAGTCATTGCCTTATATTTTAAGTGACGCTGGGTACGATGTTTGGATGTGCAACGCAAGAGGTAATTATTATTCCAGAGGTCACTTGTTAGAGAGGGTTAATTCATCGCGCTATTGGAAATTTTCGTTTCAAGAAATGGGAGAGTACGATTTACCAGCAGTCATAAACTACGTGAAAAAGTTCAAGCCGATAGACGAAAAAATCAATTTTATCGGTCACTCGATGGGAACGTCTGCTTTGCTGGTCATGTTGTCGACGCAGCCACGCTACAATGAATTCTTACGGATGGGTATTTTATTAGCGCCTCTAGCATTCATGTCAAATGCGCAGGGGCCAATAAAAATGCTCACAACAATGGCCAATCGTCCTCCTAACAGTTTGTTGAAAGTAATCGGTGATACAGAATATTTGCCTTCGAGGAAAATGCCTAAAATGATGGCATCGAAATTTTGTACAGGTCCTAAACTGTTCTGTGGCAATCCCCTCCTATTTCTGGCTGGTGGCATAAGAGAGGATGACTCATTGGAAGAAAGTTTCCTAGCGAGATTATTATATCACGTTCCGGCTGGCGCATCGACAAATACGATATTGCATTATGGTCAGCTCGCTCAAAATGGGAAGTTCCATAGATTCGGGGACTCCTCCGCGGAATTTCATTTACACAACGTGAGGCTTCCGATCGTTTTGGTTACTTCCACTGAGGACTGGTTGGCAACTGTACCTGATGTTATGAGACTTTACTTCAACATTGTAAATCCGATAGACCATTATGTGATTCGTGGAAAAAATTTGACCCACACCGAATTCGTTTGGGGAGCTGATGCGGACGTAACAGTTTTCTCCAAAGTCTTAGAACTATTAGTTAGAGGTACGAATCGAAAATCTTTAAAAGAAAATGAGGTGTGAATTGGTTGGAATTATTCAAATGGATTTAGTTATGAATCATAATAATTATGATTTAGGTATTTTTTTTGCTTAAGAGGTTGTTTAATTAAATATATTACTTTGTTGTTAAATGGCATTTTGTGTAAGTATAGATAATTCATGTCTGGTTTATTTGTAAATTTTAATACCAAATTTAAAATAGATATCACCGTATTTGTTTTTAAAATTTTACGCATTCTAATATTCTTAATAACAGCATTTATATTTAATTGAACATAAGCCCTACCTAATTCAATTTTAACGAGTTTTATATTGAAATATTATAACCTGTTTGTTTATAATATTTAGAGTTTTTTTTCTAAAATAAACACAAAATTGATCGCTAAATTCAGGCTTATACTTTGTTGAGTGTACATGTACCTAAGTTAATAAAAAAGCTATGTATTTTTATGACATGGTTATAATTTGTATACACTCGAGAGCAATGAATCCAGATCAAATAAAGAACCCTAAACATCTCGCAAACTAAGAACTAGCATTCTTAGCGTGCAATCCCATAAATAACTTTAATTACTATGATGTTTTTTTTAAAGAACAGATTCCTTTATTTGTGTTTTCGACTTTTTCATTAAAACTGCACAGATGACTTTTGGAAATTATATCTATACTATAGCTACAGCTAGTTATAAAAGTACCTTAGTACCGTAGTTTTGCGAACCGATCGCGTAGCTTCTTGACCTTCACAAGTGCTTGTAACAGCCTAGACTGAATAAATTACTTTTCATTTCATTTCACTTATTGTGTTTTGAAGGAAGAAAGTCAATTAAATGCACAAAATTTAAATATAGGCACTTTTTATTTCCTTTCAATTATATGATTCGACTATTATATCTGATACAAGGAATTGCCATAAAAAAAAAAGGATTTTTAAGCTCAAATAAGTTTTATGGGCTTTCGCAGAAAAAAATATTATTTTATACTTGGATAATTTGCAATGCAACCTTTAACAGGCGTATAAGCTTACTCCGTTATATATATATTTATATATATATAGTATTGGGTATAGCGATATTTTAAGGCAAATTTTATAAGCTACTCCGAATGACTTTCCCATAAAAACCTATTTTCAGAGTGGTTCATAAAAAATCGTCTGAAAACGTATTTTTTAATAGTTGAAAAAATTTAGTTTTCTCTATCGCATAATTAAGTCGAAAAGTTCTTTCAGAAAATACTTTAAAGAACAAAAGCGGCTTAGTAGAATAAGTCAATATATCAATTAACATAAGTATCTACTTATTTTCAACTAGCTGTGCCCCGCGGTGTTACCCGCGTCTTATTAGGGATATTTTCCCGCAGTAAAACGTAGTCTATGTGTTAATCCAGGATTTCAGCTAACTCCATACCAAATTTTATTAAAATCGCTCCAGCCGTTTGGACGTGAAGAAGTAACAAACTCACAAAGACACTCACAAACTTTCGCCTATATAATATTTGTGCCCCCCCCCCCCCCCCCCAGGTGGAAGCAAACCCCGGCACATTGACAACTTTGAAATAGGTACCTAAAGGTTAAGTTGAACCTATTTGACTTTTGTTGGTCATATCATCATCATCAGCCTATTAATCTCCCCACTGCTGAGGCACAGGCCTTTCCTATGGATAGAATAGGGAGACCGGGCCATGACCCACCACGTGGGTCCAGTGCGGATTGGTGGGTGCTAACGACTGCAGACGCAGCCGGGACCAACGGCGTTCATTTCAAAATTCAAATCTTTGCCATAAACATGAAAAGAGGTCAGCACATTCTCCTCCTCTGCATCATCAGGTGGCAGCTGACTCTGTCGATGCTTTCGTAATGAGCACCAACTTCACAATAGGGCGGCGAAGTGTGCCGCCACGAGTCAGCACATCGACCATGCGGACTCGTCCGTCGCGGCCTGCTGTCGTAGACACCACTCGACCCCTGGGCCAAATGTTTCTGGGTGCGCTGGTATCTGCAATTACAACAAGATCTCCTACTTCTACATTAAAGCCCTTTTCTGAAGGCTATCTTTCTCTGTCTTGTAGTGTTGGCAGGTATTCGCGTAGCCAACGGGACCAGAAATGGTCTGCCAGTCGCTGACAAATTCTCCATTGCTTTCTGAGATTGACATCAGCGTCTTTGAAATTTCCTGGAGTCATCATTCCGTTGGAAGAGCCACGTAGAAAATGATTTGACGTCAATGTATCTTCTTCATTTGGATCTAAGGAAACGGTAGTCAAAGGGCGACTGTTTACGATGTTTTCAGCTTCCATCATTAGAGTTGCGAGAACTTCTTCTTTAGGAGAGCTCGTAAACAACACCGCAGAAAGTGCGGTCTTTACCGACCGAACAAGTCTCTTCCATACGCCTCCCATATGTGGAGCTTCTGGAGGATTAAACGTCCACTCTATGCCCAAATCTGTAATTCTATCCCTTAGCTCTGTGCTGTTAAATAGTTCTTGCACCGACCTTTTCAACTCTTTATCAGCAGACTTGAAGTTAGTGCCATTATTGGAGTGCATTCGTTTAGGCCATCTACGTCTTGCCGCCATACGACGAATTGCCATGAGAGTCGAATCCATCGACAACGAAGAAGCTAGTTCGAGGTGACCAGCTCTTACACTCAAACATGTGAAAATAATACCCCACCTTTTCTCATGTCGCCGACGTATAGTCACCTGCATAGGACCGAATAAATCTATACCGCAATAGCTGAACGGTCTGCAATGGTGTTGTAACCTCATCTGTGGCAGACCTGCCATCATCGGCTGTTCACTGCGGGCTCTCCGGAACCTGCATGTAATGCATCGGGCTAAAAGTGACCTTACTTCATTGCGCAAGCGTAAAATATAATAATTTTGACGAAGTTCGTTAATCAAAGTTGCAGTGCCGTGATGACCAAGCTTTCTATGCTGATGTTCAATTATAAGCTTCACAATGTAGTGTCTTGCGTCGAGTATAATAGCGCATCCTCAGGTTCTGAGGCAGGTCAGCCCTGGCTACTAATCTGCTGTTTAGACGCACCAACCCGTTCTCATCCAAATGCAGGTTCAGGCGAATCTGCTGTAATCTACCAGTGGTTTACCAGCTTCTTCTACCAGCATAATCTCGTGGTGGTCTTCAGCCTCCTCCTCAGTTTCCAGCTGTACTTCTGTCTTTGGCCATGATCTTTCTGGTAATCGGAGGAATTCAGGACCGTCTATCCACCTGGACTTTGAAGCATCGACTACTTGGTTGGCCCGTGTTGCTTCAGCGACGTCCTCACTGCCCGGCAGCCTCCACTTAAGTGCGTCTGTCAGTTCATCTATCTCTGCGAGCCTATTGGAAAGAAACACATTTTGTTTCCGTGGTCTGTTACGGATCCATCGCCACACCGTTTGAGAATCGGTTCAAAAAAATTGCTTTACTATCTTCAGCCTCTGCTCTCGCTCAATATTGTGGCCCAGTCGTGCTCCCATTACAGCTGCCTGGAGTTCTAACCTAGGAATCGTCGCAACTTTTAGAGGCGCGACACGACATTTTCCCGCTGCAAAGGCCACTTCGCTGTCTCTCGTTAGGTAGGCGACGGCAGCATATGCTTCTTCAGACGCGTCAACGAAGACATGCAGTTTGAACTGTGTCATATTGGAGAAGCCTTAGCATCTGGGTATAGTAAACGATTTGCACGCTTTGAGCTTTTGCAACCATACAAGCCAAGCTTTATTAATTTTTTCGTCAATTCTGTCATCCCATTTGATGGAGCTACGCCACACTTCTTGAAGCATTATCTTGCCGTTGATCAATAAGGGACATAAGATGCCCAATGGGTCAAATATCGACATCACAATTTTTAACATCTCGCGCTTCGTCGGATTTCGTAAACCATCGCTGATCTCACTATCGATTTTCTTTAAGTCGAGATCAAAGGCTAAACTGTCTGAAACGGGTTTCCAATTTAGACCTAATGTTCTCTGGATATCATCAGACTGTTGTATCAAACTAACTGGCTCGCTAGTGTCTTGGCGGGGTAAAACGTTGGGTCTATTAGAAGCCCAATTTCTTATATCAAAACCTCCCGCCTTGTGAATCATAATCACGTCTTTCACTAGCTGCTTCATCTCTTCCTCGTTTTCCACGGAGTCAAGGTAATCGTCAACGTAATGCCTTTCCTTGATGGCTTCGACTGCTCGTGGATGGGATGAAGCAAAATCGTCAGCATTTCGACGAATTATGTAGGTGGCAGTGCACGGAGATGAAGTAGCACCGAAGGTCATAGAAGTCATCATATATACTTCCCCTGGCTTTTTCCTCTCCATTCCTCGCCAAAGAAAGCATTGAGCCTTTTGATCTTCAGGATTCATCTTTACCTGCAAAAACATTTCTCTGATGTCTCCAGTAACAGCCACTTTTCTCTCTCTGAATCTAAGCAGGACACCAAGCAAGGAGTTTAATAGGTCTGGACCAGAAAGTAGTTCAGTGTTCAAAGAGATCCCTTGGGTTTCCGCTTTCGCGTCAATTACAAGTCTCAATTTCCCAGGTTTGTTGCGAACGCCAAAATGAGGAAGATACCAGACTCGTTGGCCAGCTGGTGCATGACAAGCTTTTCTGGCATAATCTTTTACCAGCATATTGTCTACCTGCTTCGTATACTCTGCTGTGAACTTAGGGTCAGAGTCCATCATCTTCTCAATCACGCGTAATCGACTTTCGGCGTTTCTCTTATTATTGGGAAGTTTGACGTCATCACTCCTCCATAGTAAAGCGGACTCCCAGTGGCCATCGATTCTCTTTGATTTCGTATCGAGGATATGAAGTGCTCGTCGCTCTTGCGGAGAATATCTTGGTTGCTTCGAATTTTCAATGCCGATGCTGTCGAGTTTAAAGTAGTTTTCTACAAGAAAGTGAACTTCATCATCCCTTTCCGACTCAATGTGAAAGTTAAACTCGGATATAATTCGCCTCGAAATCGCGGAGAACCCATGGAGGACCCACCCAAGTTCAGTCAAAGAAGCGACGGGTTCATTCTTCTTGCCTTTTCTTATGTCTCTGGTGATAATTAAGTGCCAATAATCTTCGCCGATGAGAACTGTCGGTCGCCCCTCAACAGCCTTTATTGGAAGAGATTTCAGATGATCATACTGTGAGATGACGCTCTTGTCGATCGAAAATTTGGGTAATGTTATGTTCCCTTCAGTACGAACTCGATCTAAGTCGAAAACCTCGGTGTCTGTTACGATCTTCAAAGGCACGATCTGACTTTCCAAATTACTGTAGCTGCCAACTGCGCCTTGAAGTGACAGCATAGCGTCGTGACCTCTGGTACCTATCTTCCTGGCGACGTCACTCTCCACTAACGAGACAGTGGATCCCTCATCAAGTAGGGCGTAGGTGTCGCAGCTACCTTCAGGACCTAAAACAGTCACAGGCAGCGCCTTCAGGAATACCGGTCTTCGTACCGGTTGACCAAATGTTTGCATTAGTCTCTGGGTCATTCTTCTCCGCAGCTTCCTTCTTCGTCCAGTCGTCGCGGTGGAGCAGCTTATGATGACTACCTTTGCAAGTGGGACATCTGATTTTTGATTTGCACCTGTCCCGGCGATGAGTAGTTTTTAAGTATCTGAAGCATAGTCAGCGCTTATATCCATTATATCCATTCCCAGCGTTGATTGACGTCTTGTTCTTTAAATTTCTCACAGCCATTTATCTGATGGCCCGTATTGTCACAGAAAACGCAACTAGCTAGTCGTCTGGATTCCGTCGTGTTACTCGTCAAAACTACTTCATCGGTGGTCTTCTCCCCCGCGTTAATCGCTCCTATCGTTCGCTTGCAG